GTAATTTGGTGAGAAGTTCTTTTATTTGTTTTGAAGAATATTTTGTTTCCAATTTTATCCTTAATTTATTTGTTAACTTTTTTTTTATCTATTGACTTTCATTGACTATATGTTCAAAAAAATTCCCTATCTGTTCAAATTTTTCCCTATCTGTTCAATTTTTTACCCTATCTGTTCAAAAAATTTCCTTATCTATTCAATTTTTTCCCTATTTCTTCAATTTTTACCCTATCTGTTCAAATATCTATTCAAAATTTTCTATCTGAGCAAAAATTAAACAAATATTTTGTTTTCAAATCTATTTAAATTTTATTTGTTCAATTTTTGAACCTATCTTTGTTTTCAAAAATTGATGTTGAACAAAAAAAAAAAAAATTCTCCAAGATTATTCACTATCTGTTAAAAACAATTTGTTTGTGTCAATTTTTTATTTTTTATTTTTAATCTATTGCAATCATTAACAATAGCAATAAAAAAGAGTATTATTTGTTGCAATGCTAATCTTTTTACCCAGAACAAGAACAAATACAAATCTGATGGTTCCGACAAGAGAACAGTGATTTTCCACATCAACTTAATCACTTGCAGATTTTGAACATCGATTTCGAGATGCTTCACAAGGTTGAAGTCCTTCTTCCTATAGCGAACACCCTCTGCACAAACTGAATATCAGTAACAAATATACAAACAAACCAATACATAAATATAGATATATAGTGTGTGAGAGAGGAACCTTGGAAGAGGTATTTGCAGATCTCTCTACGGTTCTTTTCTAGGATTTCTACTTTAGATGGTGAGCTAGAGCGGGAGAGAGAGGATAGAGAAAGAATAGAGAGAGATGATTGTGGAGCTTAAGAAGAGTGTGAGCATTCGAAAGTTGTACTCCTTTCAAGACACACATACACACACTAAAAGATAAGAGTTTTAGTGGTTGCTCTCTGCTTGCTAGTTAGGCCTAGGAATTGTGCAAAGATATCCAAATCTGCCTTTTGAAACTTCCAAAAATCAACAATGGATTCCCAAAAATCTTCACTCCCTCCTTTCTGCTTTGTAATTTCTCTATATTTCTTTCCTCACTCACTCTTGTTTTTCATTTAATTAATTCACAATTTTACTTCCAAAACAACCAAACCAATTATGCATTTCTTTATTTATTTATAAACTAACTTGAATTTTGTTTCATTTGCCTCAAGGTTTGTGTTCCATACAATCACCCCCAAAATCCAGTCTTCGATCTAGATTTGGGCATAGCTACTGCCATCACCGACCAGTGATGGTAGAGAAGAAGAGAAAGAAGAAAGAGAACCAGCTTCCGATGATGGGTTCAACGGTGGGAAAAAAATATGACGGTGGTGGAGTCAGCAGTAGACGACTGTCACGACCCAAACCCGGCCCTATGGGTTTAGCACCGTAACCGGCCAGTAATCCGAGATTACCGAAGGCCTACTTAACAGTAATACAGTAAAACAGAGTACAGGGCCTGGCGGAAGCCAATACAGTAATTAAACAATGTCCAATGAGCTGTGACAGTCTGTATGCCAAAAAGATTTTTCATGCATTCATGATCTGGGCATAGCTACTGCCATCACCGACCAGTGATGGTAGAGAAGAAGAGAAAGAAGAAAGAGAACCAGCTTCCGATGATGGGTTCAACAGTGGGAAAAAAATATGACGGTGGTGGAGTCAGCAGTAGACGACGGAGGAGGAAGAAAAGATGGCAGTGACGATGATAAAGATTGGGTGGTAGATCTGCTTCTAATGATATTGTTTCCACCTTCACTGCCGACGTAACTGAACAACATATCCAAACCGAACAAATCCAAAGGGCTTTTCATGCCATCTAGTACGTTAGTGTAGATCTAGAGTTGTCGTTGAATGTGAGAGCGCCATCGTAAGTGTTGGAGAATAATGAGGGTTTTAGAGTAGAAAATATGGAGAGAGAGAGAGAGAGAGAGAGAGAGAAAGAAAGAGAGAGAAGATGAAGATGATGAGACAAAATGAGGTGTTACGGTGGTGGTGCTGCGACGGAGGACGATAGTGTTATGAGGCAATAGAGAGGAAGAGAATAGGAGATGCTGCGATGGCAATTTTATGGTTATCATAGTTGTTCACTCATCAGTGTGATGAAAGAGAGAAAGAGAGAGAGATTTGAGAAGAGAGAAGATAGTGCATAAGGAAGGTAGTGGAGTCTGGATCCTCTGTCGTGGTTTCCTACAATTCTTCCTGTCGTGGTACTGAAACGACGTCGTTTTGGTCAAAAAAAATTCTTTCTCTCTTTTTTTATTTTCCCCATTGTCTTCTGTCTCTGAAGCAGGCTAAGAACCTTAATCCACCCAATAAGCAAGAACAGAAAGACAAAACGAAAAGGAAGGCAACGACGACGATGCGGTGTGGTGGCAACAAAGGCGAGGCGATGGTAATGGATTCCTAACCTCCGCCTCCTTTATCTCTCTCCTTTCTCAATCTTCTCCTCTCTCCTTTTTTTCCCTCATTGAGAGAAAATAGATGTGAATTTGCTTGTTTCGGATCTACTTTATGTTGTTTTTGGTGATCGATCTGATCATTTTTGCTCTCGATTGGGGCATTGGTTTTTCAATTTTTGTACTTGAATGGTGTTGTTTGATAGAATAAATTATCTGGGTCTTTGTTTTGACTATACGATAATGTTATGAAAACCTTTTGATTGTATGATTATGGAAACCTACTGAAAACCTCGAACCAATGATTTTTTATCCTAAAATAAAATAGTATAAAAAGATAAAATTGTTAAAGTTGTTTAGAGTTTTGTATCTTTAAGAATATGGGTCGATATACAAGAACTTTTAGCTAGATTCATCAGTCCAAATGTAAATAGTACAGACTCATCAGTACAAGAGATTGAATGATACTTGAACAATCTTGAATTTTATAAGGCAGTTCTTGTGTTCATATGGAGTTCAGTTCTACATTTTTTCTTCGTTATTGATGAATTAAAACTTTGTATCAATTTGATTATTTTTTTTTATATCAGATTTGTATTTTGTTGTTTGATTTTCCTTTTAAGGGCTTCTTGAATTCTGAAGAGAATTCGCAGAATTATGTTGTGGAATTCTTTTTGTTCAAAACTATATCAGATATGTATATATGATTCAGATATTAGGAGAATTTATGTATTTATATCAGATATTAGGAGAATTTAGGTTGATTTTACACCACTTAGCCAAAACTATATCAGATATGTATATATGATTAATATTCAAGTGATCATTTCATCTTCATGACAAACCACGCAATGTTTTGCAATGCAAATGATGTATAATTCTTTTGCTGAACTATTTTACATGTTGTGCCATTTTCAAAATAATGCAGGCATTGAGGTCCCATAAGAATAAAGTTTTGTTTATTCAATTTTCATATAATGGGAAATTCTTGACCTCAACATCAAGAGATTGTATTGCCATTATATGGAAGGTATTCAATATATGTACATATATACTTTGAATTTATGAATCAAATGTTTTGAATAGGAGTGAAACATTACCATGGTCACATATAAATGATATAATGAAATATCCAATGTAACTAGTACTACTGTATTATCAAATGCAAATTGGGTAAGATAGTTTCACATCTATGGTTATGGTTGTGTCCGTGTTAGTGTTGCTTTGATTTTTGACTTGGTAAGATAGATTGACTAAGAGATGGTTATGATTCGATATAAACATGATGATATGCCAATATATGTTTTCTGAAGTATACTAAGAAAAGTAATGCATATCATTGATCATTGAAAATTTTCATTTTTTGACTCGTCTTCACTTTGATCATTGAATACAGGTTCCCAACTAAGGTAATTTGACAGTGGAACATGCTCTGCGCGGCCATGAAAACCCTGTTTCTTTTCTCTCTAGAGTCTTGACAAATCCATGATAACTACGAAATAGACCTATATATGGATTGTTGCTTGTCATATCAACTACGATGGTGTTTGGGAAGTGGGTTTTTATGTAGGTTTTTTTAGTTGTAGGTTTTTATTGGATAAAAAAATTTTGGTGTTTGGGAAGATAGTTGGGTTTTTATGTGGTTGGATGTGATGTTTGTGAAAGAAAAAGTGAAATGATTATGGGGTTGGATGTGATATTTTGTTTGGATGTGTTTTTTTTGGTTTTGTAAAAAGTTTGTCTTTTAGTGGAAAAAATGAGAAAAAAATTTGGAACCTAGGTTCCCAAACACCACCTACGATTCATCGTCATCAATTCATGTCATGTCAAGCTTCGTCGTTGCTATTCGAAGAGCATGTTTCATTCAAGTTACTGATACTAACTAGTTGAAACAATCTTCTAATGATATTCATGTGAAACGAAGCAGTTTTGGAAAATATCATTTTCTTAGTTTTTATTTTTCTCATTTTTCTACTTCTATTGTATTAATGGAATTGCAAATTTGAGGATGGTTATATTATATAGATCTAATCAGTCTTTTAAGAGATTGATAAAGTCATTTTGTATAGATCAAATGAGTCCTAGGAGATTGTTGGATAAAAAAAAAATTTAGTCTGTCATATATTTTTATGCAATTTGATTGTGACTAAATGAGAATTGTAGAACAGGGTTTGTTATATATCATTGTTTTATTTCATATCATTCATGAGGAATAAACAACAAAAAGAGCAAAAAAATGAAATGGTGATATATAACAAACCCTATTATAAATTATGTAAAACATGATTTAGGTCTATGCTTTAAAATTAAAGAAAGAAGAAAAGATGAATGAACAAAAAAGAAAAAGAAAAGAGAAGAACAGAAAAGACAAAACCATAAAAAAGAAAAAAAAGGGAATCATTTGCAATGCTCATAACAAACTTCAAGGTCTATGTCGAAAAAAAATAGAAAAGTTGATTGTTTCAAAGGACAACATAGAATTTCATTCAATCAAGAACATTCCATTCAACTAAGATGCTCAAACCATTTCTTTCAATCAAAATTGCTAAATCATTTCATTCAACTAAGATACACAAGCGGTTTCATTCAATCAACCAGTATATCATTTTATTCAACCAATATTGTCATTTCAAATATTAATCTATAACATTCATATTAATTTAAATACATTCATTTTGATCCAATTTCATTGCGAGCAATCAAGTCACTATTCATGCCAACCAAAGGAGCCACTTTAGTAGTCTAACCAAATTTGTTCCTTCAATTTAATTCTCTCACTTTAATGTTTCCTCATCCTTGTGTTTTCTTTCATCTCTGTCAAAATCTTTGGCCTTTGCTTTATCTTTCTATCTTCATCTTTACCTCTCTCATTTTTCCCTTTCTACATCCAAAATCTGTAAAAGACAAAATAAAAGCATCAATAAAAGTTCAGATTTTTTAATATTGCCAGTAGCAGCTGCATTACAGAAGTAGAACACACACTAGCACACACTAGCAGCTGGGAAAACACCACTAGCAATAATAAAAAATGATCTACCAACTCATTCCCCTATCCACAAGATCACAAAATTTCATACTACCACAAACAAAAGCAGCCTCAGGAAGGGCGAGAGACTTTAAAAAGATCATAAGAATAAGTGGTATGCAAGGAGCATCTTTCAATAATTTCCTACAAGAAGTCAAAACTCATCTGAATTACTAATCTACATTTGATGTTTGAATTAATGCTACAACACATGAAGAGTAAAGTCTACAAAAATGCTAGAGAGAGAGAGGGGGGGATATCACCAAAAATGAGAATAATCCAGGAGAATTTCAACATGATACTGTCCCCAAGTAAAATTCCAACAATGATGCCAATAACAGCACAAATCACACACAACAATACGTGCAAGTTATAAATTGTTAAACCTATAAGGTCCAGAAATGAAACAAAATTAGTGCATAATACACCTAAACCATTCGCAAGCACCTATAAAATCTACTCTTCCCCAAAATGCCATCCTTCACAATGTTCACTAAAATAAGAAGGCATCCAAGATAAGGACTCGGTATTTATTCACCCAAATTAAGCTGTAGAGACAAGTAAATATCTTCTTCTCCAAACTCCTCTTCCAAACAAGTAAACCAAACCCACCCATGATTGGGAAGAGATCAAAGGCCCCACTTTAATCATACACCCATGCTCTCTATCGAATTCCATACTTGTACAAATGCAAAACAAAATGCAACAGTCCAGTCCAACCCCAAACCAATAAAGTCAGTTATCATCAAGATCATTAGCATTAATAACAAAAACAAAAAAGAACCAACCAGTCATAAATAAAAAATAAAAAAATACATATGCTCTCATTGAATTCCATGAACTCTCTCAAGAATTGCACATTCATAAATAACTTCATCCCTCTATCTTCAACGCCTCTTGAAAAGAAATGCTACCATAATTGCTAGAAAACAAAAAAACCAACACCGGTCCCACAAACAAATTGAGAGCTGTTTATCAAGGATTTCATTTGGGTATCTTCAGAAATACATGAATTGAAAAAAATTAACAGTAAAAAAGGTCAAAGATCAAGTGGGCTCACCAATGGAGCTTGAACTTGAAAACCCCTCTGTGCATTTGGCGAACGTTCGACAGTTTGGTCCATCTCTCACATGTACAGTTTCATACACGAATTTCTAGGTAACCTAGGATCAAAATCAAAGCTAAATTTGCTTCATAGACACAGATTGAGAGCTCTATAGGCTTCAATCTTCATATCTAATCCACATAGAAATTAAAGAACCCCAAAGTTGAATACCTAAATAAGAACTTTTTGTTGTTGTCCCTCTTTTATCTCTGTGAATGCAAACAAGAAAACAAATAGAGGTTGAGAATCCATTACCGTTGCATCGCCTTGCCTTCATCTCCCTCTTTTTCATTTCATCTTTCTGTTCTTGCTCTGTCAGGTGGGTTAGGGTTTTCAGCCTGCCTCGGAGAGAGAAGACAACGAGGAAAAGAAAAGAAGAAGAAGAAAAAGAAAAAGAAAATAAAAATTGACCAAAACAACATTGTTTCGGCACCACAGCAGGTATAATTACAAGAAACCACGGTAGAGGATTCGAACTCAGAAATAGCGAAGGCATTTTAATCATTTTAATTGAGCTTGTCCTTTTACTCAAAATATATGAGCATCTGAACCTTCGACTAAGAAAATTTTAAATTTAAATTTATCAACTGAATGCCTTTAAAGTAATGAATTATCTATTCTCAAAATTAATATTCTCAAAAAGTTATAAGATAAACAATCAAAAATGTTAAAAATCTCAAAAATTTTACTAAAAATTTTACCAAATGTGTGGGTCCCACACCCATATGAGACCGGACCGGACCGGCCGGTTGAACCGGTGACCGGATAGGGTTCCGGTCCAATTAGCCCTCTTAAACCGACCAATTGCAAAAACCGGGCTATTTATTGAAAACCGGTGAATCCACCGGTTAAACCAATGAACCGGTTGACCCGGTCACAGGTTGATCGAACCGGTCTGGCTCTTTTTTTTTCTTTTTTTTTGTTTTCTTTCTTTCTTTTATTTCTTTCTTAATTTATATATATATAAAATATAAGAATATAAGAAAATTTTAATTTGAAACTCTTTTTTAAAGGTCTCCTCTTGTAAGGAATCTCATTAAGAGTTTTGATGAAATTATTGTGAAAGTCTCACATATTTATAAGAAAAAAATTCTTTCAAAAAGACTCAAGAAATCGATGTGGGATTCAATCAATTGTATAGAAGGTAATATTGAAATTTTGATATCCCTCCAAAATTTTTGCTCTCCTTTCAATCAAATTATTTGAATTAAAATCATATGGAGGGCATATTAAATATTTGATTTCATCTTCCAAAATTGAAATTAATAATATTTCAAAATATATTATTATATTTTTTAGTAAAAAAAATATTAAGACAAATATTTAAGATAATTTAATATTTTTAATATTTTTAATTTATAATTTTATTACTTATATTTTTATTTAAATATAATTTTAATATATTTATTACGTCACGGTTCAATTCCGGTTCAACTCGACGGTTGAACTGGTGACCCGTCCACCCGATTCTTTTTCTGGTTCATTCACCGGTCCGATTTTTAAAACATTGTCTAACATTACTCTAAACAATTTAAATTATAAGTGATGATAGAGAGCACTAGAGTTGGAGCTATAATGCCAACTCTAGTGATGTGGCAATATATTAAAAAAAAAAAAAGAGAGCAACATCGCAAGCCAAAACATCAAATCATAAGGTAGGGCCGAAAGGTGTAAATTTGGCCTGGGCTGACCCATGTCGGGTCTCGCGAGTTCTCGCCAAAATTCAGGCCAAGCCAACCAACGTGCCAAAGATTTAGGCCCAGGCCCAGGGGGTATTCGGGCCTTAGGCAGGACTGATGGGCCTGGGCCTAGGCCTAAGCTCGGGCTTGAGCAGGCCTGAACAATTTTTTATTTTTTATTTTTTCTACCAAAATTTTATTATTTTCCACTAAAAAAACATTGGGCCTTGAGCCAAGCCTTGCGTGGGCTTTAAGTGGGTCAATGGGTCGGGCTTCAAAATAATGGCTCAAGCCTTAACCTAGGATCTCGAGTTGGGCTTGAGGCTCAGGCTCAGGCTCAGGCTCAGGCTCAAGCCCAGGCTCAAACGAGCCTAAACGGGCCGGACCCATTTCGGACCGCTAGTCATTTTTACACTCCTAATAGGTCTCACCTCTACAGCTCCCTCTAGAGTTCCTCATTTAGGGTTGGTTTGGGAAGTGGGTTGGCTTTTTGGCTTTTTTTACTTTTTTGGCTATTTTAACCTAGGCTAAAAAACTTGGTTTGGGAAGGAGTTTTTGGTTTTTTGGCTTTTTTTTAAGAGAAGAGTATAATGATTATGGGTTGGATGTGATATTTTGTTTGTTATGACTAAAATAACATATTTTGTCTTTTGTGACTATTTTAGCCATTATCTTCCCAAACAGACCCTAAAGTCTCAAACATTTTTGTTAAATTATCAACATAAATCCCAAAAATAGGCCAATGGTGACTTGACAACACTACCTAGTTCAGCCACTCAACAACCTTGGTTCATATATATGTTTTATAAACATTTTACTACAAACAAAATTGATGACGTCATTGTCACTTTTTTACATGCAAATTTGGTGAAATCATATGTTCCTATTACCAAATTAATTTAATTTTAATTTTTCTTAACAATATTTTTTTGAAAAAAATATCAACAAGTTATATTCCACTTCTAGATTATTATTGAGTTATATTAAATTTTAATATGGATAATTAATTTTTAATTTTTTATAAATTGTTTCAAGAAGTTCAATTTTTTTATAATAGTATACATTATTTCAATCTTACCCTTCTCCTTAAAAGATGAACAAAATTTATTATTCATAATTGTATGATTAAAAATATATATACATATATATTTATAATTTTAAATAAAGTAATATTTGGATAAAATATACTATTATAGAAAATCATTTTTTTTTTTTGAAACAATAAAATTTTGAATTTTATTTTCTACATTAAAGCTTGGTAATCCTCAATAATAATCTTGAGAATAAAATAAAACTTATTAATAAATTTTTTATTTTTTTATTTTTCCTCCAAACTTTTAGAAAGGTGATAGTAGGTACGACTCTCTACAATTCAGGTGCAAGTGGCAAAGCAGTTAAATATTGTCAATTTTTTCCGCCTTGCAGTTTCTGTTTTATCTTGTATGGATTTTTTTCACCCTAATAAAAAAGTGGAATAAGTCAGGTTTTGCTTCTCCTGTCCCATTTTACCCAACCTGTCGCTCAATTATATTTATTAAATATATTTTTATATATATAATATATAATTTAATTGTTTTCATTATAATAAAATTAAAACACTAAAATATTATATTCAATATTTATTTTTACTCATTGAGTTTTTTATTTTATATTTTATAATCCTCATTAAGTATAAATCATTATCCGTAATATACTATATTATCTATAATTTTTATTACTATTTTCATTCTTTAACTTATAAAATTAACCCATTTCTCGCATTGCCCCTGTCGCCCACTGATTTGCCTCGCCCCTGATATGATACAGGGTGTGGTCGGGTTACTAGATTCTCTCATTTTAGTCATCTAATTTAGAAAAACATTTGGGTTTAGTGGGCTCATTTTAGGACCAACTAATGTGATATGAATTGTTCACTTTTTAAAACTTGTTAAGTAGAATATTCATGAAAAGAATTAAAATAATCAGATCTAAGTAACTATATGTTTGAATCACATTTGTTTTAAAAAATGGACGACAATTATAATCTCAAAAATAGTTGTTAATTTTTTTTAATACAAATGTAATTCAAAATCATTTTGCTTTTTTCTATTAATATTTTTACTCAATGAGTCTTAAAAAATGAATGATTTAAATCATCAATATCAATCCTAAATAGCCTTATCAAGTCCAAATACTCTTTCAAGTTAGCCATTCCAACTTTTGAGAATCCAAATAGTATATACATATAATTTAGGAGGATCATTGAACAATTGGACCAAAAAAAAATGATTATACAAATATGAAAGAGTGCAAGTCAAAATTACACCCATATAGTGCTTGAGATATTTCCCAACACATTAAGATATATCCCATCACAAGATGTGTTGTACTCTCAATGTTTTGTTAATATTTTTTGATCTCGCACCCTTGAATTGTAATTCTTCTATATTGTTAATGCTATGTTTGTGTAACAAATATTTTAGGCAAAAGTTATAAAATTAATACAAGTTAAGGGTGCTTGCAAATCAGATTTGATCCGATGACCTCTCATTCACTATCTATTCGAACTTAGGCGGATTAGGAAAAACAATCCGCATTCATCCGCTTAGTTAGCAAATGTGGATTGAGCTGATCATGCAGGTTGACGGGTGGATTCGAATTAGTTTGATAGTTTGGGGTTTATTTTTTGGGCCTTTTTTGAATTTTTCTCCAATAATTCTTTATTATTTTTGTGCCAAAAATGTTTTATTGTTCATTTTTTATAATGAAAATAAGGCTTAACTTTCATGTTTCATAAAGAGATAATTGTTGAAAAATCCAAGATAAGGAGAGTATAAGGCATTAGGTTAGATAAAAAATTTTAAAAAACAAAAAAAAAAATGGTCACAAGGCCAGGCTCAGGCCCACTGGGCCGACCCGCGCCAAGGACAGGGTTTGGGTTTGGGCCTGGGCCTAATTTTTTGGCCTATGGGCTAGCCCAACTCGGCCTGAATTTTTTAGGGAGCCCGCGAGGCCTGACATGGACCGGGCTGGGCTAGGCTGGGCCAAGCCAGATTTACACCCTTAGTTTTGGAGGACATTTTATTTTTAATTTTCCCCATTAATTTATCTGTTGACTTTTTTGCATCTGTTCAAAAAATTTCCTATTTGTACAAATTTTTCCCTATCTGTTCAATTTTTTCCCCTTATCTGTTCAAATTTTATTATTTGTTCAAATTTATCTTTCCAAATATTATTGTGTGTTCAATTTTTTCACTGAATTCTATTTATCTATTCAAATCTTTGTAATTAAAATACAACAAAGCCATTATCTTTTCAAAATAACAAAACCAAACATGCATCTCATCTGAAATTTTCTTTCCCAAGAACCAAACAACATGAAATGCATACTTAGAGAAATGTAATACATACTATCTATTTCATCATCATCATCATCATCATCATCAACAACAACAACAAAAATAATTGAAAAAAATTGAAAACATTGAGAAAAATGTGTTTGGGGATGTAATATGATCTTAAACACACAACAACAAATAATATAAGAAAAAAATCTAAACAACAACAAATAATAGAAAAAAAAATCTAAAAATATGGAGAAAATTGTGTTTGAGGATTCAATCTGATATCAGATCGTCTGTGTTTGGAGCTCTTCGTATAAAGAGATAGGGAGGCCTCTAATGGTGTTGTCCTAATACAAAACTCAAACATTAAGAATTAAACGCAAACATAAGCTCGTTTAGGAATTTATATATTAAGAATTCCAAGAATACAAAAAGT